TATAAATTAAATATATTTTATTTAATATATAATATATTTAATTTATTATATTTAAGTAGCCTGATGTAATTCAACAATTGTTTGGCTTTACAAATTTATTGGATTTTGTGAAGTTTGTTTATGTTAATAAAAACATATTTTCTTTTTCAACTTGAGAAGTTTGTTTTAATGTTGTTTTTAACTTCTTATTCTAAGTCAGTTTTAAAAATCATTATTATAAATTTATTAATATTAATGAATAGGCAATAACTCCAGAATATATTTCATATTTTCTTATTATTACATACAATATTTACTCCCTCCATCAAATGATTGATATTTCTAATATATGAGATTGTGAATGTTGTGTGTACTTTATATTTTTTACTAAAAATTGTTTTAATGCTGACAATATGAATAAATTTTATATTTTCAGTCCCCGTAGTACATCTGAAGATGAAATTTCAATTTGTAAAGATGAGCCATTGTTTTCTCCAGTAAAAGAACATCCTCTTCCAGATGGTACTATTTCAGTAGATAGTTTAGATTGCAGCTCTTTGGAAGAACATGATTTAGTTCTGACATGCAGAGCAAATAAAAGTAATTATACTATTGCATTTGAAGGTAGCGGCACTCAATTTTCTGACGATTCGGATTATCAAGATACTCTTGGAATAACTGAAACTGCTGTTTCGCAAGATACAGAGGGAAAGCAAAGAAATGTGCCAAATAAAGTGCATACAGGCCCTATGGTTCAGTCAGACTTTGCTTTTACCACATGGAGTAAATTAAAACGCACTAAAGAAGTAGCCAAAGTTAGAGGGAAAAATACAAATAATTCAACGACAAAAAGTCAAAGTTTACCAAATCTACTTCGTCACTCGGTGCTATCAGAGAAATTATTAAATCAATGGGCAAGTGGCCTAGGAAGTAAAGGATGTGTACCAGTTTATGACCTTCAAAGTAGTCAGTCAGCTCATTCAAGAGATTCTAGTACAGATAGCCAACAGTCTGTATCACTATTGAAATTATTTATTCGTCAGAGAATGACTAATAGTCCAGAATGTGGTTCTACTTCTATATCCAGTAGTCATTCTGAATCTTCAGCAACTAATATAATTAATGGTTTCCAAGATAAGACTGAAAGTTTAACAGATAGTTATGGCCAATTAGAACCTATTTCAAATACATCAGATGAAATTAGTCAAGAAGCTGATAAACCCGAGTTACCATATGAAAATTTCAATCAAACTGCTTTGACTAGTCCCATACATTCCACATCAGAAAATACTGAAAATACAGCTGTTTTACCAACAACAGAAACAAATAATAATACTATTAATCCTTTACCCACAGATAACTATAATGTTCTGCATCCTACTATAAGAGATCATGTACTGGTTGCAGAAGGGTATGCTGATAGCGAAGAAGAAAATTCTCAATATTTTGAAGACAGTTTGATGGATGTACCACCACCAGCTTCAAAAGATTTTTTCACAAGTCCTATTAAAGAAGAAGAAGAACCACTTGAAACAGACACATCTAGTGGAGACGAAACCATGAAGGATAGTAAAGATCCTTTCGGAAGTGATACTGGTAGCTCTCAAGAGAGTAACATTACAAGGAATAACAAATTGGATAGTCTGGCACAAAAACAAGAATGGATGAATGGAGTGGAAAGAATTAATAATGTATTCCCTAATGTTAAATCAAATATGATTTTGGCTAATAATGCTTGTTCTTTTAACAAAGAAGAAAAAATCCCAATGAAACGATTAGATTTTGGATATCAGAATCACTCACAGGGGACACAGACGAAGCAATTAAACAGTAAAGAATGTAGTCCTATTGAAGGAATTAATTCTCGTCTTGCATCAGCAGTAGATGTTAATCATGCAGAAGGAAAAGTAGATGTTCTCAATAATGTTCGATATAGTCCCTCACGTGATTCAAGTCCATCATCTAGTGGTTATCTTAGTAGCCGACAAGGCTCAGTTGAACGACTTCGGCAAAGTTCTCAAGGCTTCATTAATAATACCAACATACCAAATATGATGTTACCAAGTAGAAAAGTAAATGTAATTATTACGAAGCCTTGTCACAGAAGTACACAAATACCAGTTCATATAAGAGATCAAGGAATTCAAACTTCTCTGTTAGATGAAAATGGAATGGCTGTCAGTTTTAGCATTAAAGAAAGTAATGATGATAATGTTATGGAGAGTTCTTACTTATTGAAACTCCCAATGAAAAGTAAAGATGGTTCAAAAAAGGGCTTTGCGAGCAATGAAGGTAGTGGATGTTCAGAAAAACGATCAATATATGTTTGTTATCCTAATTATTCACTTCCTGATCTCAGTTTCTTAAGAAGTTTTGCAACTAGTCCAGAAGCTCCAGAAGTAGTTTATTTAACTCCAACTAAACATAAAGTTCCTTCGTATACTAAACATCCTCGTTCTACTCAGGAAAGAAAAAGACCAAAATCTTGCTCTGACTTTGATTCTTTGTCTTGCCAGCCTTTTAATCATATTAAAGATTGGGAATCTCTTAGTGTTTTATTACCAGAAGATCTTAAATCTGTAATATCCAAATTACATGATAGAGCAAATATTCGCCCTTTAGATGATACTTTAAATATTGGTGGTAAGACAGAATCAAATCCTGAAGGTAAACATTCAAGAACTAGTAGTCCAATATGTTCGTGTACTGAAAACTTTACGCATCAAAACAAAATCAAACTCGATTCTGCAGTTGGCGATAAATCAGCACCATCTTCTCCATTGCTAAGTTGTAAAAATGATGACAGGAAACCAGTTAGAGGAATTTTACGAAAGTCCACATCTACATCTGATGATAAAGATTATGGGCTACCGCCTAGATGTTCAAGCATGTCTACAGTTCTTCCTAAAACACAAGATACTAAGTTTAAAAGATATTCTTTACAAGAACCTTGTCAAAGAGTTCTAGAGAATATACAAGAAGTAAATAGCTTAATGAATTATTTAAATAAGCAAACATATATTAAAAAGGAAGATATGTCATCAGCTGAAAAGAATGATGAATTGAATCAAAGAATGAAAGCTCAACCTTGTAATAGTGCCCTTGGAGCAAATTTTAAGAAAGGACTGGTTAGCGGTGCAAAAATGGATTATACCCATCACAAAGTGTCAAGAACATTATCAGATGAAAATCACAAACGTGTTTCTTCTCCGCACCGTACCAGCAGTAATGGAAATTCCATTAACAATTCACCTATTAGACAACTTAATACGCCACCTTCTTTGCTGGATGAAACAAAAGATAAGAATCATCCTAGTTCTTACAGTCTTTTATCTGAAATTCCATCTGTAGAACAACTTCAAAATCAATTGGAACATATTTTAGGTTCAGGTTCCAATTTAAGTTTAGTTGCTGCAGCATTACTAGCAGCTCAGGATAATAATAGTGGTGAATCAAGTCAGTGTTGTGCAGAAGGAAATTCTGTAATGACAAATTGTGCATGTTTAAAAGGGAAGAAGTCTGTAAAATTTGGAGAGATATCTGCAGAACAAAATGTGACATTAAATGCTTCTCCATGTAGAAGAATAAAGACATCTAATGAAAATATTGAACATGCAATATTAAAAGGTAGTAAGTATTTTCTTTTTTATATATGCTAAAATTAAAATTTGCCATTTATTTCTTAAACTGCATAATAATCTGTTGGATTCAGTATGCTGAGGATTGTATACACAAATATTACTCAACTTCAAAATTAATTAATATCTAAGAATTCTTCTGTGAATTGTTTTGGTCGTCTGTTCGGTGTGAGCTCCTTCCTGTATCACAACAAGCCTACATTGCCGTTTCCATGAGTCAAACACTTGTTTATGTTTTTGGGTGTTAAATTTGACCATTTGTCTTTTGTGCTTTCCAAAATCCACTTAGAGTTGTAGCATGCTGATGGAAAAGTCATTTAAAGAATCCAAAACAGAAGAAATGTAAATGGCTGAAGTTAGGTGATTTAGTAGGAATATCTAGTTTATTTTATATAATTGAGACCTGTAGATGCTTTAAGATGTTTGAGATACTCCTTAGTTTCCTTTATAGTGTGAGAAGAGACTTGAACAAAATTGTGTTCCGTCATGACAATCTCATCTGGGTACATGCAAAGAACTTCTCTTTCTAAATATGGCTTCAGTACATTGCTAATATAATAATTAGCATTCACCTTAACTTTATTTGTGATTTTTATAAGAGGAATTGTTGTTCTTCAAATCATTCCACTGATAAGTTCACTTTATCCAACACTGGAAATATCAATTATGTACCTCAAAACCTGTTACCAGTGTGCAATTAACTTCAAAAAATGATAATGTAAAATTTCATGAACATTTTCGAACCTTCAATGGTTCTTCTTCAGGTGGCGACAAATTTTTGTTAGAATGCCATTAAATACAAAAATTATTCAAAATTCTAATATGTGTTACTTGATGAATTTTTACCAGGCATGCGCACTACAACGTTCATGAAATTTGACTTTTTCATTTATTGAAGTTAATTGCACATCGGTAACAGGCTTCAAAGTACGTAATCCATTTCACTGATGAACATGAACCTTCTGCCAGCTTTCATAGCACTTTGTCAATCAAGGAAAAGGGTAACAGATTTTTCAAACTCCATTGTAGTAGCATAAGTAGAAATATGCTTCATCCAATGTCACCATAAATTCTGATCTACCTGCTGCCTGGTATCGCTCTTACAGTTTGCAAGCATTTGTCTTGTGATTTTGTTTGTGTTCTGCAGAAAAGCAATGTACTTTAGTCTTTTGTACTTTTGTTGCTTTCAAATCCATATGAATTACATTTTGTACAGTCCTGTGGCAAGTTAAAATTTGCTTAGCAATATTTCTTATCCTTGAAGGTTTGGTGTAGATGATAGTTTACAGACCTCAGTATTAGCTTTGCAGCATGCAGGCCTAGGTTTTGAACAAAGTTTTAGATGACACCCCATTTTCCACATTCCATCATTTTTTGTACGAGAACCAATGATATTGCATATAATCTTCTGATTAATAACAATGGAACTAGATTTTAGTAATTTCACGGTCTCTCTGGAAGTCAACCCCTGCTCAGAAAGCACTTATGCATGGACATCAATATCCCAATTTTTGTGCAGTACCATTCTTTCAAACTTTTTGACACAAACAATTTTATGACATTGAAAAGAATTATGGGAAACCACAAAACAAGTCTCATGAATTTTGGTGTTGCCAATTAAAAGATATAACACAGTAAAGTTGAGTAATATTTGAGTATACACCTTGATATATAACTAAAATATTCTTTTTAAATAGATATTTTTAAACCACTTTTTCCTCCTCCAAAGTTTATACATTGTCCCTGCTTCTCTGCTTTAAAAATCTCAAGCGCCTCCATTACTTTAAGTTGGTTGTGTTTGTTATTGTTTTAATTAATGTAACACATTGTAAATTAGGTTTAACTTTTCCTCTAAATATATCGAAGAGGGCAGTAGTTTGCCTCCCTCTGTCTATATTGGCTCAGTGTTCTGTTAAGCACTTCCTGAGTGATTTCCAGGTTGAACCTATATAGAACAAGTCCCTCTGAAACCTTTCATTTCTTAGAGGTATCTTTTATACTCCCTTTTCTCTTCTGTAGTTGATTGGATCTTTATCATTTCTATTCTATTTAGTGTTTATTCTAATGATTTTTTTTGAAAGTAATCTAAGATCCAGCTATCAGTATTTATCATTATGAAAGTATTTATTCTCATTATTTTGAATGAAAGTATTGAAATAAAAATATGTATATTGAGTGTACTTTCCATAAACATTTTATTTCCACTTAAAAACTGTACATTAACCAAGAAATTGTTTAATATTAAATTTTTATCTTAAAATTATTTTACTCCAATATTACTAGAATATTTATATAAACTGGAATATTTACAAAGTAAAGAAATTTTAATTTATGGCCAGACAATCTGCCAAATTATTGGGCTATAATAAGGCTAAATTAATAATTAGATAATATGTTTATAGGTAGGTAGTAAATTTAGATTTTATTAACTTACCATTTTTAACTTACAATCTGTTAAATTATCAAGCTAAGTCTGGCTTTATATCTATATATATAAAAATGAATGTATGTCTGTCTGTGTGTCCTTCATGAATTACTACACCATTTATCTGATTGCCATGAAACTTTGGGAAGTTGTTTAATACACTCCCGCAAAGGTTTCTAGCATAGTGTATACAAGCATTTCACCGTGAGCATTTCAGCACGGTTAGGAGTTGAAACTTGAAATTTAGTACACAGTTAGGGTATGTCATGACCACGCACACTAACAAGGGATTTTTTGAAATCCCCTGTGAGGAAAGGGACAGGATTAAGGTTTCAACAATGGAAGTGTTAAGAGAAAGCAACATGCAAGATTTACAGGTGCAGATGTGATTTTTTAAGTTAAATCAAACATAATTTTAGACCCATATAAAAATTTTCTAATTAGGCTGGAAACACGGAAACCTAATTCTTGCATTCTGTGAAAACGGGTAAGATTGGCTGTAATGTAATAATCTTAATCTTCGCTATCGTTACTTTTTGCCCAAGCAACGCTGGGCTTATCTGCTAGTGTATATATATATATAGCTTTAGGTTTTATTGAAGCTTTTAAATTACTTAATGAAAACTCATATTTTAGACAAGAATATAAGAATTCTGATATTGTTGTGCTGTATCAGAAATAATTTAGCTACAAATGGAAAATTAAACAGAAAAATTATAGTTTTATTCAAATACAATGTTTATTTCTAGGCAAGCTTGACTGTGGCAAGATAAATCAGATGTCTCCAGAAGACGATTCAAATGATATGGATTTTCCACCACAGGAATTTGCAGTTTCACCCTCACAGTGTTCTCCAGCAAGTACACCTTCATCTAGTCCTCCAGCAGTTCCAATTTCTGAAGATAAAACTTTCTCTATTACTCTATTACATGAAGAATTAAGCAAAAGGACAGGTTTGTGTTTTATTTTATAATAATAATTAATGTAATGGTTTAACTGCTTATCTAATGGTAAAGTTTTGTGTAAGTTAGTTTTAAGTCCATTTGTGTATAGTTATTTATGATCAGTAGATCTTTATGAAAATGTGTTGTTCGAAAAGATTTTATTATTAATGTTTATACTGTATATATCAGTAAATTAATCTTTCATATTTAATGTGTTATCTGTAACTATAGTTAGTTTTTTAGATTAGACTAAAATAAGTATGCATTTTTGTTTTTAAATGAAAACATTATTGGGTTGCAATTTGAAAAAATTGTAGACCTATAAATTCCCACTGTATCCATCTGTTCATCCTTCTTTAATCTTGAGGATGGTTTTAAATAGATGAAAGTTGCAACCAGATATAGAAAGCTTAAGGGCAGGAGGCCCAGATTAACTATATACGAACTTCTGCTTTGTACCAGAAGTCAGGTTATTTCAATTCAAAAATTCTCCCCAGAACAGAGTTACATAGATGACTGGCATGACACTGTTGTTGTTATTAGGAAAAGTGTGATGTACAGGGGCAAGACACTACTAATTTGATATCTAGAACATACATTTTAAATTAAATAAATTAAAAATATGATTAAAAATTGTAGTCCAGAATTGTGACAATGTCATGATAATTTTTGCTCATTATTTTTAAATTCTATTTACTATAAATCTTGATATAAGGTAAGAGATGTTTATGTTAATAAGAAAAAATTATAATAATCTTACTTTTAATGCCTTAGGATTGTCAAAAATTAATTATATATATGAATTTCTAGGAGGAACAGTGATTAGATGAATCTGTATTTTCAGATTATTTCTAAAAATGAGTTTGGTGTAATTCACAGTATTGAATTTGCTTATTATATCAGTTTATTGTAATATTTAAAAGATGATGATTAATAGTTATGAATCTTAAACAGTAATTAGCAATTTTATTATCTGAAATGATGGGAACTTATTTACAAAGATAAATTTATTAGATCTGAATGTGTATAAAGCAAGCATCATCATCTAATAAATATTAATATTACTGATTGATTTTAAATAAATAGAAAAGAACAAAACACACAAAAATTGTATGTACGTGTATGCTTGCTTAAATTTATGTATGTACCGGTACATACAATATATACATATACAAATTATTTCATTTTTTTTTGTGAAATGATACTTAAAATGTAAGGTTAAAGTTTGTTAATTTGTATATTTTTCTTTATTTTCAGGCTTAGTTGAAAATTTACAGAAAGCTGTTGATCTTTTAGTAGCACATTTTTCTTCAGATGATCTGAAAAAACAGGTACAATATTTTATTAAGCATATTAAAATTTGATGGCTGTATAAAATTAATATATATTTGTACATTGGTATTATATAATCATGAACTTACAAATAAAATAAACTAATTTAATTTTTCAACATTGGTTGTTTATAACTAAGAGATTTTTTTATGAGTGATCGTAACAAATGACATTGTTATTAAATGAATTTTTTAAATATAAATTTCATCTTCTGCAAGTTTGCATTGGTTTTTATCAATTGATTCTCTCACAAGCGATTAGTACTAGATGTTGATTCAGCTGACCTATAAATTCTCAATGTCGTCCATTTGTCCGGACACCTGTCTTTCCTTAATCTCGAGAATGGTGTTTAATAAATGAAATTCAAGACCAGATATGGAAAGCTTAGGGGCAGGAGGCCCCGATTAACTGTATATGAACTTCTGATGCAAACCAGAAGTCACATTATTTTAATTCAAAAATTTTCCCCTGAAAGGAGTTAGATGACTGGCACAACTCCATTGTTAATGGAAAAGTATGATGTACAGGGGCAAGAGACTAATGTACTAATTTGAGGTGGAAAGCATATATTTTAAATTAAATAAATTAAAAATTGCAGCCCATCATTGTCAATGATGATGTCACAAAAAAAATTGCTTGTTTACTTTAACTTATTAAAGATAATTTTTAGTATGGATTTATTTAAATTTTTTAATTATATAGTCTAATTTTGATTGATTACTAATTTTTTAAATGTGTAATAAATAAAATATAATTTTTCTTAATTATAGACTCCATAAATTTTAAACAAATAATATTACCCTGCTGTGTACTGTATAGAAGTCTTTGAGAATTCGTTACTTTTTGATTAAATGCTTTTCAAGACACCTAGACATTTTTAATTGAAAAGCAAAAAATTTTCAGAGACTTTTATACAGTACAGAACAGGGTAATATCATTTCAAAAAATTTTTACTAAAGTTAAAATTGTATGTAAATAATAATAATAAAATACTCTAAAAAATGTATTATTAATACAAGAAGTTTGAATTGCAGAGTGAATTAGGTAGCAGTGCACTGTCTCCAACACTTGGACCTAAAATTATTACCAATTTTTGTCCAGCTATGCATGCGTTATTAGCTGATGGTCAATTACCTTCAATTCCTGGACTTCTGGCTCCATTAACTAATTCTACTTGGAGAGTAGTAGAAGCATCTACAAAAACAGGTAAATATTTAGTTTAGGATGATGTACAGGTTATACAAACAGAATATAATAATAATTTTTGTGTGATGAAATATGTTCTTTATTGTTTACAAAATATAATATTTAATTATTGTTTCTCTTTAGTTCAGTTTTTGGTATTTATCTGTACAGCAGAGTTCTGTACAATGCGGGGGATATTTTAGGAAATTGTGTTATCGAAACTTGTATTATCACATGATTTATGAAAGTATATAAAATTTCTCAGCGTTATAAGGTGTTAAATGTTTATTAAATGAAAGTTTATACCTTGGCCTATAAGTTGAAAAAAAAAGTATACTTCTGATTGACAAAATTTGAGGGTGTTGCTTGCTTTATTTGCACATTGTATGGAACCCTACTGTATTTTCAAATAACTTTTGCTTATTATAATGTTTTTATACATTGTAATAAGTTACAAAAAATATAAAAATGATAAATATTTATGCTCGTTGTTTCATCTTACAAGTTCGTTCCTTGTATATATGGATTATAATTTGTAAAGAATAAGTCTAATTTTTTACATAGTTGTCAATGTAAAAAATTATTATATATTCATTTATTTCTTAATATAACTAGTTTAGCCACTTTCTACAGTAGAATACATTTTTCACTGAGTTTTTCTTTTCTCTAGAAATGATTTAAATAAGAGTAATATAAAATAATATAAAATGTTTCTTTTTGAATATTATTTTTTTCAACTTTATTTGATGATATATACTATATTCTAGCTAATATAACTATATAATCCAGAATATAGTTTATTTCTGTCTTCAATAAATATTTATTGGTAATCTTTATATATGTGCATACAGATCAGAATTCAAACATGAAGGTAAAAATAAGAAATTTCAACTTCTTTAATAAATGCTTCTCTTAAATTTAATTTAAACAAAAACAAAATATACTGAACCGGAACTGAATAATGTTGAAATATTAGATGTTTTTCTACACTGTGTTAATATTTTCTATTGCATTCCATTCTAAAATAAAACTGTAAGGATCAAAATTCTTTCAGAAATATTAATAGTAGCTGGACCAAAATCTGTTTACACTTGTTTTTATTCTTACCTGAAGAAAGAATATTTATTCTTTTCTAAATAGGAAAAACATTAAACACTCTCTATAACTTCCTGTTTAGGAAAGTATTTAAATAGAAATAAAATAAAGTGTAATAATTAAAAAATTGCTTATTTTTTGTATTACAATTTTTATCTTTGCATGTTTGTTTCATTACAACATGCAAACTACATTTTATCATTGGTAGGTAAATTATTTCATTTAGTAGGTACAGATTATCTTGTAAATAAATTACAAACAAACATTTAGTGCTTTCAAACACTTTTTGTATTGAAAGTATTCGAATTCCAGAAATTTAACAACAGAAACATTAATTAAATTAAACCTATTGTTATATTTTATTTGAAGAGGACAAATTGAAACAAATTTTAATTTTAAAGTATAAGATTATTTGATAAAATGTCAAAGAATATGTTAGTTTCTAATTAATTGTTGATTGTAAGTTTATAGCTTTTTGCTAATAGAATGCAATAATTAAATTTAAAATATTTCATATAATTTATCTGTTTTTCAAAAACTATTAAAATAATTTATCTTATCGTAAGTTAATGTTTATACATATAAATTTTCAGGAAATTGCAAACGTGAACTCCAAGAACTAATTAATCACATCAACGCAGAAGAAATACTGTCTTCAAACATTCAAAAATTCAATGCATTTTTATTGGGAGTCCTAAAGTAAGTATTATGGTATTAATAAAGGCAACAATTTTTCTTAATTATACAGATTAGTTATTCATATAAAAGCAGTTAAGATGTTCATGCAGTTACAGTAACCCCTCATTATGTCACATGTCTGGAGACAAACCAAATGAACAATACATCAGTTGGCACGATATAATCAATGTATCTATTCATTTACATTGACTGTTTTTCATCTCCAGGCCAACTTTCTTTTTTGTGGGTTGTATTTCATAGTGGTAGCTTTAAGGTCAATGATTAAAAAACGGTAATAGTTCTTTACCAGTAGAAATTCAATTAAAACCAATTTTTTAAAAATTACTTGCTAAGATGATTTTATATTTGGAAGATTAAAAAAATAAAACTGCAATATATCCAAAAGAGGAATATAATGAGATGTTATTGTATTCAAATACACAAAGGATAAGTTAATATTTATTTCTTTATTTGAACAATTTTTCTGCAATTATTGTGATTGAAGCATATTAATTTTGAATTGGTTGAAATCATATTGTGCATATGTGTTTGCAGACATACAGGATAGGTGGAGTAACTAGGCATTGAGAAATCGTTATAATTTTTATAATAATAATGCTATTGTATCACATAATAAAATTTGTGTATGTGTGTATATCAATCAATGGAATTATAAAACAATTCCTGCATCTGTTGTGTGGGCAATGACTTAGAGAGGCTGCATGTGCAATGACAAGAAAAGATGGCCAATTGCTTCTCTCTTCAGGAACAAGTGTTGAACAGTTTCCACACCTCAAATTGTTGCACACTGTGAGGTGTGAAAACTGGTGGTTGTCATGTAGAGATGATGTCATATGGTGAAGGAGTCATGCCACATTCCATCCAAAAACAATCATGAATTGTCATTCAAAATTAAATGACCACAGGTTCAGTTGTGGCTGCACAGAGAAATGGCTCTCCATCCACATCAGTCTGAGGAAAACATGTTATTGGTGGATGGCACCAGTGCCTGCATTGAATTATAAGCTATGCACCCGTATTCCATATAATCAGGTACTGTACATGTCAAATAATTTTCATCATTGTTGCTTTAGAAATATAGAAATTATAGTGATTTCTCAATACCTAGTTATTTTTCATCGTCCTATAAATAAACCATGATATTTGCCAATATACTAGATATTTTTTGCTTTTAATAAAAACAAGAATAATACTTACATTATAGAATTTTATCAAACATTTTTGATTGCAATGCTTTAACTTAAATCAGTTTATTATGATTGCAAATTCCAATATTTTATATCATTAAATGTACAGCTAATACTAAAATAGTATCATGATTTTTTTTATAAGTTTGTCTATGTATAATGAAACAACTACAGTAGAGCATCAATTATCTGAATCAATTGGGGACTTGGGTTGTTTGGAAAATTAGTTTTTTGGATAACCGATTAGGTACAAAAAAATATATTAACCTATCCCATGTTGAAATTCGTTCAAATCCTGGCATGTCCTTAAGTAACCTCTGTCATGGTTGTGCTAGTGCTTCCAGCTAAAACATGCACACCAACAAAAATAATATTGGAGTAGCCTAAGACATAGCCAAAGATTGCAGCGCCACATCACTAGAGGAAATTTAAATTTACTGACTGGAAAACTTTCGTCATTCAGATAATCGATGCTCTACTCTATTAATGAAAAAGAAATGTTTACATCAATAAGCAGCATACAGCATAGTCAAAATATTAATTCTGTATACATAACCAAACATTAAACTTTATAAATATAATATTTGATAGTGACAAATAAAGTACTGTATATATAATATAACAATGTCTATTCAAACATTTCAGTAACATTTTATTTACAATTCTACATAATTATTTCTGTGCACTTGTTAATATCTCCCAATCTTTCTGATTTAATAAGAGGTTTTTTTTTTTTTAACTTTACTAGATTAAAATTCTTCTGGTGTAGTCTGACAATTTAACCTTTTTAATATATGAATTTATTAACAAGGGAGAAATGAAATTAGCATTGGCATTAAAGGCAACAAGTATTTAAATGATTTGTTCTATTCTGTTTGTTTGTTAACTAATTCTCTTTGTTCTTCTGTACATTTAATATGAAATTTGCTTTTCCTTTTTAGCTGCTGCTGCAGTTTATCTGAATTTCAACATTAAGAATTGTTGTGCAAATTTTATCATGAATCTTAATGGCTTTCTTGATAATGCCAAACTTTTAGCACTGATCCTTTATCTTGGTAGATTTGAATTGTCCCAAATGGGTCGTCGTTATCTACTGTGAACTTTTTAAAGCTGCCATTTGCAACTATATAAATTGTCACCAACTAATTCAGACAACATTAGCAGCTTCATATAGACTAAATATCAAATTGTTTAGTTTAGGGAGCCAAATACTTTTTACTAGAAATGTTTTTGATCTCTTTACATATCATCAGCTTAGATAACTACTTTTGTACAAAGAATAGCAGTTGCAAATATGTAGACTCAAATAAGATTCAAATGTAAAATACAGCTTACCAATAGAACAGAATGTAATAGGCAATGCAACACAGTAGAAACCAGATTTAAAAGAAATGTGACTGTTAGATTCATATGTAAGTCTTATATGAGCGAGCCTGCATGAGAACAATCAGGTTTGGGATGGAGGAGGGAGTCAAGAGACAGTGCACCAAAAATAACACACTCCACTATGCATTTAAACATTAAATAACAAAAATTTATTTGTTTAAGTTTATAAATTATTTTACAAGGACATAGAATTAGTGGACACACGCAGTTTAGGCAGGTGAACTCATCATCTGTCCTCTTGCCTTTTATTCGAGGTCCTCTTCCTGCCACTCTAATGCCCATTTTTGGCAAAGTTGACAGTTGCTCCAATTTGTGATTTTTTTCCCCTCCATTTCCCTCGATGAGTAGTTTTTTGGAAGCTGTGCCACTCATAGAGGAATCATCCAATAGAAAATTTTATGATGTTCCTTGACTTCATTTGTGAAAAGGAATACTTCTCCCCTCTATTTTTAACCAAAAGATAAGATTGAAATCATCAAATTTACACTAGCCCAGGTTCTTACAGAAAGATTAAAATAAATTAAAAATTATTATATTTGATTTTTATTACTTAAATGTTGCTGGTCTCTGTTATGACATTTGTAAGTGGATGTGAACTGTAAGAAATATGGTAGCAATACTTACTATGCCTATTTGGAAAATAATTTTGTCTACTCAATGAAGATTACAGTAAGGAACTGTTTTGGTATATATTCTATAAATTGTCTATTGTTCTGGTTCTGTCCCACAAACATGTACAGCTCCTCCATTCCAGATGGGCTCTCTTTGACAATAAAATCATGAAGGGAAGAACAAACCTCATTGGTTCTTTCTTAGCTATGTCCTCGTGGTATGTATGAAGTCTAAGATTTGTTGACAGGCATCACAAACATTGTACATTGATGCAAATAGAAAGTTCATTGGACAGGAATGACAGGCAAAGAAGGATTTGGCATATAATTCATTACTAATCAACTGTGGAATTAGAATGGATAATAAACTTAATTGTGTCAATTTTTCACTAGAATTTGTAGCCATATAACTGTGAACCTTCATTTTAGTGTCCATAGTAGCCTGAAAAAAGAAAAGAAAATATCAACATGCTGTAATTTCCAATATAGAAGAGCATTAGACATTTTATTATGGCACATTAACGTGCTGTACATGCAATCTTTAACACGACCATGTTTATAAAGAGGCAATTTTCTGCTAATTTTCATATGTAATTATGCTGTATGTAATTGCTGTTTCTGAAATTTGATGATTCTGAAAAAATCTTGTAATGTGTCTTTTCTGCATGTGCAAAATATCAGTGTCTCATATGTTATTTAGTTTACTAGATGATGATTTGTTTACAGAACTGTGTTCTTGACTGGGCTCCCTTACATAACCCTTCAAACTTTTACAATAGCATGGGTTAATGTGAAATGAGTTCAGCTTGAAATAATGATGAGATAGCCGAGATGTTTCTCAAATGATTTTTCTGTATTTTTGGTCTTATTGTTGAAGGTCAGGAATCTAGACTATATAATAAAAACGTGCATTTGAGGTTGCGATTTTGCAGACTTCCATGCCATTATGTCATGCATAGTTGAAAAACATTTATGATGTCATGCCTATTTCTTATGGCAATCATGAGATCTCCATGACATCGTTTTGATGACATAAGAGTGGGGAAAATCAATCACCTTATGTATGCAGTCGTATGACAATAAAGAAAAAGGGTGCACTATTGGCTTGCATAAGGCATTAATTTCCACAGAAGCTCTTTGATGGTGCATGATAAGCAGGGAATTTTTTACCAAAAGTTTTGTACAATTGATAGCATGTAGGATGAGGATATCATAGAAACACAACTAAGTTAATTTGTACCAAGTGAAATTGTGATGTTCAATATGACTAATTCATCATTATAATCTAAAGCCATTTTCTAACTGAGACTATCAAAACAATGAACAGAGGGACACCTTCATCAAAGGATCACATTTATTTTTTTAAAAAATTCATATTTAACATTGTTCACAATATGCATCTTAGCTGGATACTAAGTCAGGTCTTCTTCAGATATTAGGTATATTTATTATTAACATCTATTATTAGTTACCTAATAACTGAAGAGGACCTGATTTAGTATTTGGCCAAAATGCATATTGTGAACAATGTTAAATATGAATTTTTTTAAAAATAAATGTGATCCTTTAATTCAAGGTGGCTCTTGTTCATTGTTTCAATAGTTTTGATTAGAAATAGGCTGTAGAATATAATAATGTATTAGTCACATTAAATATCACAACTTCACTTGATAAAATTTTGCATATGCCACCCGAATATGAAATAATTTTTATTCTCTTATTGTTTTATTTCTCTTATTGGTTATTTTTATAGTAATTTAATTTGATAAAAAGAATGCCTGAAAAAAAAAAAACTAGTAGATGGGGAAAATCACTA